TTTTACACGTCCATCGACGATTAGTCAACGCAAGTTTATCTCTGTTCACTTTAGAATGGCAAGGAAAGTCACTGTAAGTAAATTCAATTAAGTGTTTTGAAGTCGTGAGAGTTTGCTTGGTTGTTTGTGTAGCTTGGCGCTGTAATGGCGCGTAATCCTGTGTTTCTCTCGCCGTAAAATTTGAGTCAATTTTAGTCGAGTTTACCTCTCTGANTCAAGCATCTGAGCGGGCCGGATTCCTAAATCCTCGAACTTGATTGGCTAATCATGCGCACGTGACCGGTCCAGCTTTTTACGATACGGCCCACGGGCCTGATTTTTTCTTCGCTGCCTAAATTTCGCTTCTAAAAGTTAGCGGTAATCGTCAATCTTTTGCCTTTTTACACGTCCATCGACGATTAGTCAACGCAAGTTTATCTCTGTTCACTTTAGAATGGCAAGGAAAGTCACTGTAAGTAAATTCAATTAAGTGTTTTGAAGTTGTGAGAGTTTGCTTGGTTGTTTGCAGCGTGGCGCTGTTTTGGCGCGTAATCCTGTGTTTCTCTCGCCCTAAAATTTGAGTCAATTTCAGTCGAGTTTACCTCTGATCGTTGCTGTATTTAGGAGAATTTCTGTGGAATGCACTCAACGAATTTCGCAGCTTTCTGCTATTTAATTTACGGTAGAAAAGTCTGATTTCAAGTGATTTTAAAAGCAACGACTGACAGAAATTGTTTTTGTAGTAAAACGTTAAACTTCGCACGAAATTTCACACCGCAAAAACAATTTTGGAGAACTTAAGTTTGGAGAACTTAACTAGCTCGAAAAAAATCTGTTTTTTAATACATCTTTCTTTGTCTACTATCTGAGTTACTCGCTCGTTGCCGAGATTTTTTACAAATCATTAGTAGACGGCGCGCAAGCCGATTCAATGACAAGAGTTGCATAAACAAACCCATTTGTAATCTGTAAAACCAATTTACTGCAGGAAAAAAAAAAATGCGGCCTCGGGCAGCATTTTCAAGCCCGAGGTCACAGTCTTTCACCATATGGACCGACCCTAAGCCGGCAAATAACATATATGTATTTGTTCGAACAGTGAGCGGAATAAATTTTTATACCATGAGGAAATGTGTATGTCAAGTTATGACAGTTGCCGTATTTGCTCGATTAAGCGCCGGTTATACCTTGTAATTAGGACCTCAAGAAATGGCTACAAAAATTACCATAGAATATAAGGAATAAACACCGAGCTTAACTAGAATGTAGAAATGAAATATGTCTAGACAAGCCGGGCCAAATTTGAAACAAAAGCTAGGAGAGTTTAAAGGGTTATTAATTGAGAAAATACAGTAACCTTCTCTTAAATGCCAGTTCCAAAATAAATTCTGGTGTTCAAAATAAATTCTGGTGATGAAACAGAAGTCTGCGCAGTATTGTAGTTGCTTGAGTCTGTTTCAGTGCGAAAAATCCCCACTCTTACGTATATGGATTTCGTTTTTAGTGTCTCCGTATATGAGTTCACAAAAAAATGTCGCTCTGGTGAAGTTACAAGGTTATTCCCCTTGCGTCAACTACCGACTGGGACGTCATTAGCGATATGCCCTGTCGTTTAATAAATGATCGGACTCCAGGTTTATAATTACTTTTGTATTATTTCATGTAGCTGTTGTGTTCATTAGTCGCGCGCTGAACGTAGGTCTGCAGTCGGAAGTGGTTATTAGCAATTGTATGGAAAGACTTTTTCATTGTTTAAGATACTACGCAAAACAATCTTTTCATTATTTCATTATTCACAATACGATACGATACGACACGACA